TTACAAATTGGATTAGACCAGAACATGCACACTGCTAAAGATAAGAGCCCGCAACACAGGGAATCCAGGATAGATAAACCCCTCAGGGCCAAAAATGAGAGTAGAGATACCAGGAGGATTAGGGGAGGGGATGAGGAGAAAGGGGGAATCGATCACAAAGATCACCATATAATCCCCTCCCAGGGGGACGAATAATGGAAAAGTGGGTGAGGGGCGACAGAGGACGATGTAAGATATGAAAATAATACTCTGTAACTTATCAATGGTTCGTGAGGGAGGGCAGGTGTGGGAGGGAGGAGGAAGAAATGGGAAACTGCTATCGGGTTCAAGTGGGAAGAGAATGCTTTGCAAATGATGATGGTGGCATATGTGCAAATGTGCTTGACACATTGGAGGAATGTATGGATTGTGATAAAAGCTGTAAGAGCTCCCAGTAAAAGTACGAGACTACATATATATAAAATGTTCATTTTCAGAGCCAAAAAACACTTGGTTTTTAATGACAGGCATTTATTTAAATATAGAACTAGATAGGGCTCTTGAAATTTTATAATCAATGGATTCCTAAGGCCTCTATTCAAGAACTCCACTATCAAAGACCAATGTTTTCTGTATCCAAAGGCATTTTTAAGACAAGAGAAAACAATTAGTATACCAAAACTAGAGTGCATAGAGCAAATATGGTGAGTTGATTTTAAAACCCATAACCTCCAATTCAATTCTGACTTACAGTGACCCTGCAGGGCAGAGAACTGCTCCTTAGGGCTTCTGAGATGTAAGTTTTTATGGAGCAGAGCAGGTGGTAGGCTTGAACCACTGACCTTGTGGTTAGTAAGCTATAGCTTAATCTGCTGTGTCTCCAGGACTCCTGGGGAGACACTTGTGCTCTTTAAATTGCAAATATACACACTCCAACAATGACCACTTTGAAGTTCAGCTTACAGAGGGTGTGTGGTCTGGCTGGGGCTAGGCATCCACATATAAAGATAGCGCTTTCTATCCATCAAGTGAGGACTGACTGCACCGGATCACATGCAGGTTTTCAGGATACATGTTATCAGATTATTCCTGCCTCGCCCTCGGGCCCTTTGTTCCAGAAAAGCCAAAAGTATTGCCTTTGAGCCAATTCTAACTCATAGCAACCCTTTAGGCCAAAGTGCACCTGGAAGGAGACCACCACATCTTTTCCCATGGAGCAGCTGTTGGGGTCCGATGACAATCTTTTGGGTAGCAACTAAGTGCTTTTGCCACTATGGCACCTGGGTTCACTGGCCCTTACCAGTGAAGAAAAAGGCAGAAAGCCCTCTAAGTTCTCTAGCACAATAGGGTAAAGGTCAATTCTGTGGGTAAGGTGGGCCATAAGTAACTGAGAAGGCGTCAAAGGGAAACAATGCAAGGCAGCACAGCAACTGTGAAGGTCGTGACAAGCGGACATACATAAGTGCTGCTTGAGGAGTTAGAAGAAAGCAGTTTCTACTAGGAAGATAGTTCTCATGGTTCCTGCGAACATATGAGAAATACTGAATGCTAAAGAGGAGCCCTGGTAGGGTAGTGGTTACAGGTTGGGCTGCTAACCACAGGTTAGCAGTCCAAAACCTCCAACTGCGTCGAGGGAGGAAAAATGAGGCTTTCTGCTGCTATGAACAGATAGTCTCGGGAACTCAGAAACAGAGGCAGCTCTACTCTGCCCTATAGGACAGCGATGAGCCAGAACTGAGTGGATGGCAGTGGGTTTTTCATTTAAAAGGGAGCCCTACGGGTGCAGTGAATTAAGCACTGACTTCAAACCTACCCGCCTCTGCAGGAGACAGATGAGGTAGTCTGCTTCTCACTAATATCCTTAGAAACTACTCTGTCCCACAGAATCACTGTGAATCAGAATCCATTAGACACCGGAGGGTTTGGTTTCAATTAAAAATTGGAAAAACATCAAACTTATCATCTTTATCCTCTTTATAAAACAATCTTGCCACGTTAACACATACCAAATGGTTTCTAAATGAAAGCTATCAAATAATTTTGGAAATAAAGATTGTGTTTTTCTGATGCTAATTATAAAAATATGGTATTTTTTTCTTCAAAGGTGGTAAGCTAATATCAAAGGATGACTGTCCTTAGATTCTAAAATCCAGTCAGAAGGTTCATACCAACTTGTACGGTGATAGCAGCATTTAAAAATTAGCAGCAACAGAATATGGACTTATCGATAGGTTTTTGCTAAGATGTTTAACAACTGAAAACCATGTGGCTCCATTTTCACTTCGCAGAGCTGAGACAGTGAAGTCTCGAAGGCACAGGTATGACATGTTAAAGCACAGTGCTTTAGGCTAAGAGTTCGGGGTTTCCTTCTTTTACTCACTCCACGCATTCACAAACAGGCTTCCTTGACACTTTGTTCTGAACTGTTAAGTAACCTTATCTTAGAGGGTTGGGAAACTTTTGTCTCTGCGTTGAATAACCTCCTGAATAATGACTGGCTTCCATTTTCACTAGAGTTTAGGGAAGCCCATCCCACTGGATCTTCTTGGGAGGGACCAGGTAAACTCACAGCTCCCCCAAGCCCTCTAGGGAGCCCAGACACATGCTGAAATCGTGAGCCCAAACAACTGACCTGAATCAGATGATAAATCATGAAAGTTGCAATGCCTGCTCTTCTCCATTCCGGATGTACAAACAGAAATGAAATGTAAGCTTCGTTATATTTCACATCAGGGACCATGAAGCCAAAGGCAATGATGACTTTTTTATAAAGGACAACCACACTAAAGTCTGGATACTGCAGGCACTCAGACAAGTCGATGCCTAAAGAAAGGAAACCACCACAGATTCAAACTACAGTGCCTTTTGGAATGAATGCCCACCAAGTTCTTTAGTCTGTATATACCGATATACCTACATGCTACAAAAGCCCAAACATGTGGATGAAGATATTACCATAGATACTACACACTGGGATCACACCATTAAAATGAACTTTAGAAAATAGAACAATTAACATAGTCCTTTCAAGCACAAATGTTAAGAGAGGATAGCAAGGGTAGGCAGTAGAGAGGCCAGAGGTTCAGAATGGGACACATCTGAGTTTACAGTCAGCCTCCACTACCATGTGTACATTTTTAAGTGTCTCAGGAACTCAGCTTCTGCATCATGGAAGACGAAGCCTCAGAGAGTTATATCATGTGTTCAGAGCACTGTGTGCTTTACCCAGATATATACAATTTATATGCTCTTTTGTACAAGTTCCACATTTCATAGGAATTTACATTTGAAAAAGAAAATTCCATGAATAATGAACAGAAGACACTCAGTACAAAGGCAAGAAGTAGAAGACAATCCCAAAATATTCCTTTCAGTCAAAAGAAAGAACACAATTCTGCCACCACATGTGCTCTATAATTATCGGCCAACAAAGAAGACACAGAATTAAACATGATGAAAGCTTATTTAACATATGGAGGACATGGGTTATTTCCCTTAACATGCAAACACGCACATGCACACACACTCCTTATTGTGTTTCTGACAGTATTTTCTTTTTGTTTCAAAGAAGCGTGGTACAGCAGATCCACCAAGAATGTGTTTACATTTAGCAATCTAAATGTGTTTCTTTAATTAATGACTTTGTTACTCAGAGACAATTTGTTAAGATTAATAAAATGACAAACATTGACTTTACTCTTATTCTCAAAGTCCATGGTATCCAACTTTTTGAAAACACCTTTGGCCTGTGACTAACACTCTCTAGTGAGCAGCTATATGAACAAAGCATAGAGAATCATTAGGCAAAAACCAAAACTATCCAAGCACACAAAATCTATCAGTCTGTGTTATCTTTGATAGACATTACCTGTTATCTAAACATACGTAGAAGCAAAACAGGATATATCTTTTATTCTGGAAGTAGAGACAAACAGGGAACAGAAACAAAAACACTGTTTAATACTTTAGTTGTTGGTTTCTTCTTGATTTTAGGAAAACAAGAAGTATTTATATTTTAATATTTCTACATGTTAGTAGAGACAAATCAAATGAATAAAAGTTTTAGGATTAGGTAACACACACTATGTTTAAACAAAATTAAGAGTAGAACTGTACAGAAAATTGATCTGCCTAGTTTGGGAGAGAAACATACCCGGCCAGAAAAACTCATGACACATAGAGTTTATCGTTGGGATGTGGTTTGGCTGAACATAGCAGTAATCGAGAGGTGCATCAGGCTCAGGTGTCCAGTGAGGGTCACTCCTGTGCAGGTGGGCGCGAATCTGTGACAGGAGCTGTAGTTTGGGTGGCTTTGTTTCATAGTCACGCCTCAAGTGCCACAGAAAAGAAACAAACCCAAGTCACGAAAAGTATCTGGTATTATTCCTAGCCATCTATATACATTCATTCTTTGATCTGCTTGAAATCTTAAACTTGTTTATTTCAATCCAGATGATTGCCAGCTGGATAATAGTTAAAATACTATTCTGGTATGAGAGACAAAATTCACTCTGTAAATAGTCATTAAGCCCAATTCCTCTGTACCCACTATGTATTAGGTGCTTCCGGGAGTTTAATGATCAGAGAGGAAAATCCTGCTTCCACCCAGGAAGCTCTGAGAGAGCGACACTGCTAGTATTGTCAGAGCTAGGAGGAGAGAAAAACCCAGCTCTGCTAGGGCAGGTGGGGTACAGAGATGAGGGGATATTTGAGCAGACTTGTCAATGACCTTTCAATATGGGTGCCCAGAAACAAGTTGCTGAACAAGACAATATGTTTTCTTAGACCCAGGGGTGAAATACTAGCAAGGATCCTTTAGGAAACTCAGCTTTCAATTCAACACCCAATGAGATTCATTATTAGATACACAAACCCAGGCTTCGGTATCAGTTATATGCTTGATTAATATGCTGCTTCCAACTCTCCTAGTTCTTCCTTGAAAAGAGAGCTAAATGAATACCAAGAGGCTTCAAAAAGTTCCTAGAAAAATCCCATTACTGTTTCATTTTTCCACACAATTTCTGAATCCCCCTCGTACAATGTACACTGTTTTAAATACAAATTAACTTATTCTTGCTTTTTGCTCTTCAAAGGCATAGGATGAAATTGGATACAAAGCACAGATCTTAGTCCTTGCCAGTGCCTCTAACATTTATTGATCTCAACAGGGGTGGGGAGGTGGTAGGAAAACACTAAGGTTATTCTACACTCCACAGTCGACATCACAACCCTTTCTCCATGTACCTGATATAAGGTTTTAAGATCCGAGAAGTGTAGGGGCTAATGATACTTTGGTCCACAGCCATATCTTCTGACCCCACAAGGCGATACAAAAATTTAGTGGTTTGGTGCCGAAATCCTTTCCTGTATGGCAAGGCAGTCTGTAGGAAAGAAACACTGGTTATACAAAAACACAACTATTCAGAGAACTAGTTTCATTTCCATGTAATTAATTCTTAAGAGTTTGATATATAAAAAATCAGATCTTTTTGGAAAACTCAATGCTCAGCAAACATTTTATAAGTATCTTTGTAAAGTATTGTTGTATAAAACTAGATATAAAAAAATAAGTCCAGGCCCTGCCCTGGCAAAGAAGGTCTCAGATAGCCCTAGGACCTGGGGAGGCAGTCCCTGGATGGCTCTGCATCCTAGCAAGGGAGGCCCCAACCAGCCTGTGGGCCAGTGAAAGTGCTAGTTTTTACTGTCTTCTTTTTCACTCACCTTTTTTTTTCTCTTCACCCTTTCCACATTCACCACATACATGGGGTTACTCTCCAGGATGAGTTCGCTGATTAGCAGTGAGCTTACTCTTCCTGATAAAGTCATTTCCACATTCACCACATCCATAAGGCTTCTCTCCATTATGAATTCGCTGACATTCAGTGAGCTTACTCTTCCAGGTAAAGGCTTTTCCACATTCACCA